GGCATCCTCATGCTACTCAGCAGAGGCTTCCAATTACACAGGCCAAGGGGTATAAAAACAGGGGGATTACTTGGCCCACTCTACCCGAAGGCTACCTGCAACATTTATAGGGGCATTCTCAAAGTCTTTCCAAGTCCATGAAGTGGACCCTTCGGCTAAGCGTAAGTCACCCGAGGGCTTATTCTCTAAGTCCACACATACTTAGAAAATTTTCTAAGTCCACAAATTTTTGGCCTTCAAACTAGCATGTGAAGGAAGGCATAACATACATTCGTACACAAAGGCAACAAAACAAAAAGCATGAAAGAAGGCATGCAATAAGGAAGAAACAAAGACTTCCATATCAGAAAGCCCGAAGGCATACACCATTCATTCCAAAACAAACATTCAAGTACAAGAGATGTTTTGTTTACAGATGGTCGAAGCCGAAAGCCTACAATCTATTACACAAAATAATACTAAGGAAAAATTCCTACGTATGAGCTACTTGGGGACCCTCTTCAGCGGACTTCGAGGTGGCACCCTCTCCGGCCTCCTCTTCATCATCCCCTGCCGCCATCATAAGCTCGGAATCTTCCAAGTCAGGCCTCTCTTCACCTAGGGGGAGGGGAAATCTAACATCCGGCTGCAGGAGAGGAAGGCCATATGTCGTTGGTTCAAATTTTTTCGGATCAATCTTGAGATGCCTGGCTAGCCTTCGGTAGATAAGGTTTTGAATGAAAAAATCGCCACCGTCGTAATAATCTTTGCCCTTCCGGGCCAACCATTCAGCACCAGGGCCACCAACCCAGTCATCAACAGTGGCCTCCACCACCGAAGCCAACCATTGCTTCCGGTCCACAGCTTTCCACCCTCCGGTGACAAAGGCGGAGATGGCATCTTTCTCAGCTTGGAAGACCGCCTCCTTCCTGGCCTCCTCAGCTCTCTCAGTAAGACGTGCGGAGCTTTAATTAACATACACCTTTGAGAGTGTACGCAGATTAATCCCCATTCCTATTTAGAGACTCGAAAGTAATGTGTCTAGATAGAAATTTTAAATAAAATGATGACTTTTACCACATAAGTTGAGCTAATCAGGGTAGTGTCTCTAAACAATAAAATGTTTTTTAATGTATGTTTTCAAACTAAAATATATTAATGGAATTGGCAGATTTGATAACTTTCTGTAAGGCAGAAAAGGTAAATTAAAATAAAAAGGAATAATAGATTAAATTAAAGATGAGTTTTTTGCCCTAAATAGGATTAAAATGTTGCTTAAATTCCCAAATGGGAGTAAGTATATTTCTATCCCTAAATAGAACTATTGTACCAATTTACCCCTCAATTCAATTTTATCGTGCAACACCCTTCCTTGTTTTCTACTCACACCTACGCACCTCTTCCTTTTCAACCGTACCTGTGCAACTCTGCTTCTTCAATGTGACGAACAGAGGCAAAACGGACAGCAACGGCAAACAACAGCGAGTGACGGAAATCGGCGAAGGTGTGGTGACGAGTGGCAGCGAGTGGCGAGTGGTGAAGGAACGGCGGTGAGCGGCGGCGAGCAATGAGCAACGACAGGTGATGAGCTTAAGTTGAGATCTGTTATGGAATTAAGGCACATGGTTCTCCCTGTCTCTTGCTTCTTCTTCCTCAATACCTCCTCTCTATTCCGTTTCTCTTTTTCTCCCTCTTCGTATGTTCAGATGCAATTGACGATGATAAACACTTAATGTTCATCTTCTTCATTTGGTTTGATTTTTATAGAAATGCCAAATTTTATTTAAAAATACCATTAAAATGGCATTTTAACTCTTCAAAAATGCCATTAAATTGGCATTTTAACTCTTCAAAAATGCCATCTTTTCTTTTGAAAATGCCATTAACATGGCAGTTTTTATTCATGCTGGCATTCGTATAATATTGTTGGCATCAGTGACGTAGACCGTGAGCTCTGCACTGGCGGAGGCCGGATTCGCATAGGCGGCGGCCGGATCTGCGGCAGCGATCAGATTTACGGCGGAGGCAGCTAGATCTATGGTGGTTGTGGCCAGATCTACGGTGGCGATAACCAGATCTGAACCGGCGGCAACCAGATGTGTAGCGGTGGTCAATTCTCCGGCGTCCGGCGATCGGCATCCGGCGATCGGCGACGGTGGAGGTCCGGTGTCCTGCTTTGCCAAGCAGCAAGGTAATTATGTCCAATTCCAAAAAATAGCCCCTATTGGGAAAATATTAAATATTACTCCTATCTTACCAATTATTGATTTATTTAGTCCTATGTGGAATGACCTCATTAAAGATTTCATACTCATATGTAGTTTTTTTGTGTGTTTTGTGCTATTTACACTTTCATCACAATACTACATAATCATTTACGTAACTACAACTTAGATTAAGTCAATTAGTGACATGGTCCTTGTTGGTCCAAAATAGGACGCTCGTAGGCTTTTAGGAAAGCTACGTACGACACTCAAGCAGGAATTAGGAAAGTACGAATATGGAAAGTTAGCCAGAAATAGCATATAGAAATTACCTCTCCTAATCTGAATTACAACCCGCCTTTTATAGGCGTATACAAATCGTAACTGTTACTGATAATAATGACTAATTAATTACAACATTAATACGAAATTAAATACATAATTAATAGCGCATTAATTGCTCGACCGTTACTTTTCCGGGCTAGGAGGTCGGCCGGACTGGCAGGCTCCCCGCCGGGCTGGCGGGCAGGCTTCAGGTTATGGACTTGGATCCATGGATCCAAATTCGGGGCTTGAGCTGATTAGGCTCTGGACCTAGTCTCATTACTCCATCAGTCCTGAAAGTTCACTTTTCTACCCACCTCATAGCTGTAAATATCCATGTTATGTTGCTCGTGTTGTTGTCCATATCATGAATGTGGCAGCCAAGAATCACAGGTTATCATGCTAATTTCCTTACTAAATAGGGGCTTTACTATAAATTTTTGCTAGTCTACCAATATTGCAGGTTAACAACTTGAAAAGGTGATAGGCATAGTCCTTCACAGAAATGTAGTTGTTGATCTCATATATACTAAAAATATTTATATCTGGTTATTCTATCAAGATCAAATTATTGAGTTCATGGAACGTGCTCGATCAGAAAACCACATTCTCTACTGTTTTCATACCACATTATGTCCTAAAGTAAGAAAATTTTACTAAATTTAGAAAACAAAATCAACCAAGTTGTTTTATAGGTGAATACCTGCTATGGTAGGTAATTTTTTGAAATAGTTAAAAATAAATACAAATTCTCATAAACTTTAGATTTTTCTCACATCAATTCAAGATATCAATGATACTCGATCACTCTTTATGCTTTTTTATAAAAAAAAACTTTTTGCACAAGTTTTTTTAAACCTCCATACCAGGGTAGACAACATTTTGTCAAAGTTAGAGATTTGAAAAAACCCAAGTCCTAGTCCACCAATTTCGGGAGTTTCAAATAAGATTCAAAATTTCCATGCTCCCTTATCAATCTCTCTTTTTTATAAAAGAAAATCAGAAAAAAATGATTTTTGAATTTTTCGAAACCCCCATACCAGGATACACAACATCGGATAGAATTTAGAGATTTTAGAAAACCCAAGCACTAGTCCACCAAATTTGGGAGCTCAATCAAAAAACCACATTCTCAATTGTTTTCATACAACACTATGTCCTAAAGTAAGATAGATATAATAAATTTTGAAAACACAATCAACCTAAGTTTTTTATAGGTAAATACATGCTATAGCAGGTCATTTTTTGAAATAGTAAAAAATAATACAAATTCTCATAAACTTAAGATTTTTCTCACATCAGTTCATATCAATGACACTCGATCACTCTTTATGTTGTTTTAAAAAACAAAAATAAAAACTTTTTGCACAAGTTTTTTAAAAACACCCATACCACATTTTGTCAAAGTTAGAGATTTGAACTAGGGCTGGGAATTTGAACCGAAAAACCGAAAACCGACCCGAAAAAACTGAACCACCAAAGAAAAAAATTGAACCGAACCGAACCAAAAAAATTGGGACCCAAAAATTGGGACCCGATGTCTACCTCGGTTCGGTACCGGTTTTTGATATGCTAAAAGTCGGTTGAACCGAACCGAACCGATTTTATATATTATTCATAAAAATCATTATTTTTATTATATAAATTTTGAAAAGCCCAAGTCAAGTTCAGGCCCAGCTGCTCCAGTCCATTAGGCTGGGAAACTTCACAACTACGGACATATCAATCGGCTACCATCTACGCCGAAGTGCTGAACGGCTGAAGGGATTGTCGGCTACCATCTACGCTGCCGGGCGCCAGCTACCATCTCCGGCCTAACAAGGTAAGTAATACTTCGTCTCTATTGTCTTGTTCTGCGCACCCCTTGACTCGCCGCAGCCGTATTCCCTGTCAACTATCCGCAACTATAAAAAAGTAAAAAAAATGGAAACAAGAGTATGCGTTAGGAGTTAGGACAGGTGATTCATAGTCTTAATTTGATCATAAGCTTTTCCCATTGCTTTTTCCTCTCATATGCAGCTTGTGAGATGTGAGTTGTGACCTCTCTTTCCTCTTATCTTCCAAAACCTATTGTGTAATAGAGGTAGATATTTATATTTTGATTAGACAGAAAATAAACTATTTTTAAATTCATTATATTTCTAAGCCAATTATTATTGTATGAACTATGAAGTTGATGAAGCACTATAACCAAGCAGTTGAAATTCAGAAGTGTTATTTATAGCTTCTATTGCTAAGCAAAACATTTTGAAGAAATAAATAATGAAATACTGCTTGTGGTACTATAAATGAAACCATTCTAAGAAACAAAGATTGCGTTTGCCATGTTATTGATAAAGATCATGTTATTGATAAAGATCAAGGAGATAATGTGTGATACATCATTTACAGCCATAACTCATAAGCATTACTATGTAAAACGTTTCACAGAAACCTTTGTATAACAAACTGACTTTATATAACAAATTGACTGAGTATACACAAAAAATAAAATAAACATCTATGGGCTGGGGAGATTCTGTATGGGATATTCAGTCTTTACATAATTTTGTTAATATACTTGTTAGAGTTTACTGCTAAACTTTCAATGCTTGTTATACTACTCTTATAAAATATAGCATCCAATAAACTGATTTAGTACATAGAAATTGAACTATTTTATATTAGAAAGAAAATGAACTATTTAAAATACATTTTATCTCTAAGCCAATGATTATTGTATGAACGTACACTATTTTTTCCGATAAGTAACAATGTGAGTACGTAACACATCTAAAGTACATAGAAATGCCCACTCTCCATAGTTACAAAGAATAAAAGGTTTCTAGATGTTTATAAATGATAGACTCTGATAGAGTATATCTAGAGAGAAGTGAGAGCTAGAGAGAGAAGTGCAATAATATGTTTCAATAGAATGAATTTGTAACCCCTATAACTACTCCCAAAGGGAGTATTTATAGAGAAAATACGGGCTGGGCTCCCAAGCCTTGGGCTTGGGAGGCCCATTTACAACTGGACCGCTACTGGGCCGAATACAAAGCCACTAATGGGCTGTACAAATGAGTAAGTGTAAAATCCGGTTCTGGGAGGTCTTCGTGGCCGACGAGGGCGTGGCCGACGAGGGCACGGCCGACGAGGGCACCCGAGTTCCTTGGGCTCAGGACCATAATCTGAGTTGGCCCCTTTTCGGCCGGCGGGGGCGTCTTAGCCGACGAGGGCGTCACTCTGTGTCTTGTGCTTTCTGTTCTTCCGAGTATGTGGGTCCGGGGGCTCAGACCCATATACTCCATCAGGAGTCCCCCACTCTCTAAGCTGAGACGTAGACGAAGTGAAGGAGAGTAGATTCCTGTGCTTTAGTGCTTTTGGCCGATGCGGGCACTCCCAGGCCGTCCGCTGTTGCGGCATTGGTGCTGTTTCCATTTTGGTGATCCTGTTCTGTGCCTTGGCCGTTATCTGCTCCTTGCTGTGGGCGGGGAGGCCGTTGTTTCCTTGATGTGTTCGTTTGGGGACGACAAGTGTCCTGCTTCAATGGTGGCCGTTGAAGGCACGCTTTCCCTTTCCTGGACGTTGATGGTTGAAGTTTATGTTTGGGCCGATGAGGCCACTGACGTTGAACCTTGCTTTTGAGGACGATGGCGTCCTTTCCTTTGGGTGGCCGGTGAGGGTGTTTGCGCACTCCTTTTGGCCGTCGCTGTTTGGCCTTCGTGTTCTTGGCCGAAGCACCCGTCATGATTAACTGTTGGCGGAGGACGACGAGTGTCCTTGCCTTCAGTGGCTTGCTGGCCGTTGTTGATGATGTTATGTGCCTCTGAACGATGAGGAGCCGTTGTGATGCGTGGACGATGTGGCCATGCTTTGTGGTTACGTTCATATTCTTTGTATTGTTCCTTTCTGTTTTGTTGAGGCCGATGTAGTCCCTCAGTCCCCCACTGCTTCAGGTCGAAGAGTGTGAGGGGTGAAGGAGTTGCTTGAGTCCCTAGCTGAAGCGGCCTCTCCGTAGTCCCCCTGAATCCAACCCTCATGGCGATTTTCTGGCCAAGGTAACCCTGTGGGAGAACCCTTGTGCGCAGATCGCTTGTAGAGAGTTATCATCAAGGGTCATTACGAGGAGCCGATGGCTGTGGGCTCTTTGTTCCTTTTGTTCTGTGGCCGTTACGGGCATTCATTACGTTCCTGGCCGTTGTCGTCTCCTTATTGTTGGCGTTTGTGAACCTGGCAAGCAAATAGGACGTTATGAGCGCTTCCTGGCCGTAGAGTCTGTTTTGCCAGTGGGCTGTTGACATGTAGTTTGGCCCGTTGGTGACGTGGTGGCCTCCCATTGGTGGCCGCTGATGTGGCCATTGGGAGGGTGCCACGTGTAGTGACCGTTGGGTGGGGGGTTCTATAAATACCCCTCCCCCTCCGACGAGAAAACGTATTTGCATTCTGAATTGTCGAAGTGCTGGCCAATTTTCTAGAGAGATAAACTCCCAAGCTTGTTCTTCGTGTTCTTCGTGTTCAAGGTTAGTGTTCATCGCAATCTTCCTCACTTTTCATACTTTGCTTCCTAGGCTAGTGATCTAGTGTTAGGCGTTTGAACACCCTTAGATCCTAAGTTAATCTCCTTAGGCCCGTAGTAGTAGTTATGAAGAGCTTGAACGAAGACTACTACCCGTACGACGACCAGCCCTCCACTAGGTCACTCGACTATGAGGTGCTCGAGGAGTTCGAGGAGGAGATACAACACCTAAGTCCCTACAAATCCGAAGAGCTGGTGGACGACGAGGTCGAGGACGAGGAGTCCGCCTCATCTTCAAAAGGTGAGGATGCAGCTGCGTCCCGAGTGGTGGACGGGGCGTCCACTTCAGCTGTTATTCCGTGCCCGAGGCCGGTGTCCACCGTTAAGGGAGCCGGCAAGCCGAAAAGAGTGAGGAGGCCGAAGAGTGGGTCGGGCATCTCCTACCTAGATCTCACAAACATCTTTTTTTTTTGGATAAAATCACAAACATCTTCTTGATCAAGCCGGAGAGCAGCGCGGCCGACTACCTTGTTGCCCAGATGTACGTGGGGCCGTACGGGCGGGTTAGGGCACCCAGGCCGATGGACCATGTTCTTCTTCCGCCCCCGGGATACTTTGGAGTATACCCGATGAGTTTTTCCAAGGGGCTGAGGTTCCCCCTTCACCCCTTCATCACTGAATACCTAGATATGGTAGGGCTCCCTCCGGCCTTGCTGACGCCGAACAGCTATTCTTTGATGGTGGGGTTTGTGCTCCGGTGTGAGGAGCTGGGCTACAGGCCGACGACGGCCCTTTTCATGAATCTGTATCAGATCAGCCGAGGAAGCCACAAAAACTGTGCGGCCTATGCTACTCTTCAACAGCTGCCGAAGAAGAGGAGCTTCACGGACTTGCCTACGTCCATTCATGGGTGGAAGAGCAAGTTCGTTTTTGTGTCCCTTGGTGAGAGTGGCACCGAGTTTCCCTCCCTCGGCCATACCGGGAGGTTTAATCTGCATGACCCGCCGAAGAGCTCTATTTAGGACGCTCAGGTGGAGGCTTTCTTGGAAGGGGGGCCGAGGAGCGTGAAGGATTACATCACTGAATACAAGATGGCCGCCCTCGGCTTCATGAGATACCATGTGTATGGTGATAAGGAGGATGATATCCAACTCTGGCCGAGGATGACCACCACCTTTGAAGAGGCCGACGGCCCGGATTTGGGCATTCCTGCTGAGGCCGATGGTAATTATTTCTTCGGCTTTCTGTCTTTATGCTTTGTTCTTTTGCCTTACTAATCTGTTGTGTTTTTCCTTTGTAGATTTTGTCATGGACCGTCGCTCCATCATGGCTATAGCAAAGGCCAAGGCGGCCGAGGAGTTGGCCGCAAAGGCGGCCGAGACGGCCAGACGTGCCGCGGCCGAGGGAGGCGGTGCTACTGCTGGTGCGGCCCCAAAGCTTGCCCAATCGAAGAACAAGAGGCCGGCCACTGACGGCCAGAAAAAATTGACTGAAGCCGGCCTGAACGTCGCCAAGAAGACGAAGAGGGCACCGTCTCCTTCTCCGGCTACCGAGGCCGGTACTCTGACTGTCCCGAGTGTGGACGATAGTGGTCCCCTCGTGGACCTTACTGCTGCTCCGAGTGATGCCGCCCAATCGCTCCCTATCGTCCAAGAGCCACGGACGAGGAGGGCTGGCAAGGAGGTCGCCGCTGCCACCTACCAGAAGGTGGTGGAATACCCCATCGGCGGGGGTGTGTTTGACGATGCCGTCCTCGGCCATGATGTGCTGGCACAGGCCATGCCGGCCAAAGATCGGGCTTACCTCAAGAAGCTCGGGGACGTGAAGGTGTACGAGGGTGGCATGGACCTCCTCGTCCAAGTAAGTTCTCTGCCTTGTAATGTGTAATTCTTCTCGTCGTCCGTGTAGAGTTAATTGTCTGAGTCTTGGCTTGCCCTCTTCTTTTTTTGCAGAGTGCCTTTATGCTCATGGAGAGCCATAAGAGGCAGTACCGGGAGATAGCTCGTTTGAAAGAGCTGGAGCAGAAGGCTGCCTCGGCCGACGAGGCGGTAGCTTGCCTGGATCGGCTCCGGGAGGATGCCAAGGCATTGCAGCAGAGGGCCGATGAAGCCGCTGCAGCCAGGGACGATGCCCTGGCCAAGCTCGAGGAGACCCAAAGGGCGCTGGAGACCGAGCGGCGCAAGAACGAGGAAGCCGTAAAGGCGAGAGCTGAGGCCGAGGCTGCCGCTGTGCAGGCTGCTGATAAGGCCGTAGAGCAGTTCCTGGCCGAAGGGTGGAAGGCCGATGAGAGGCTCCCCTGGTGCTATGAAGTGGTGGCCGCCAGGCTTGAAAATTGGGGGATGAACTCCCCCGCCGGCCAGGAGTATTTCAGTAGGGAGATGGCCGTCTATTATAACATGGGCCAGGAGCGGATGCAGAGGCTCCTGTGTCGGCGGCTGTCTCGGGCTCTGAAGGCCATGAATTACACGTCCGGGTGGGCCAGACGGAACTTGAAGCTGCCAAAGCTGATGAAGGATCCAGAAGAGCAAGCCAAGCTTCCTCTGTCGGAGCGGGAGTCCCCCATTGAGAGCTCCGGCCTCGGCGAGCCGGATTACACAGAGTTCGATTTCCTGGACGATGCCACCAGTGCTGCAGCCGCCGCCGGCCAAGAGACTGAGGCCGAGGAGGGAGCCGACGAGGTCGAAGAGCCAGCCGCGGATGGAGGTGCCCAAGAGGCTTGATCGGCTACTCCCTGCTCCTTTGTAATTAGCTTTTCATTTTTTGCCAAACTGATGTAATGGCCGAAGCGCCCCCAATTGTAATGAACTGACTATGAATGAAAAATTATTGCCGTCCTGCTCGGCTTTGAATTCCTTGTATACTTGTTTGCCTTTTGTCATTTCAATTCTGAAATGTGTCTAAGTGTCAAGGTCACAACTTGGGTCACCCGCGAGTGTCCGCTACGTCCATGGGGTAGTCCACCCTGTCCGGTGGCCTGGTCGGCTTGTTCGTCGTTGCTTTACTATCATAACACTTAGGAATTTTTTCAAAAATTTCCTAAGTGTTTTGGGCTCACTAAGCTGCTTTCTTCCCGGTGTGGTGGCTTGGTCGGCCTGACCGTCATTTCTGTACTATCATAACACTTAGGATATTTTTTTCGAAAATTTCCTAAGTGCTTTGAATCCACTTAGGTGCTTTCTTCCCGGCCTGGTGGCCTTGTCGGCCTGACCGGTGTTGATGTAGTATCATAACACTTAGGATTTTTTCAAAAATTTCCTAAGTGTTTTGGATTCTTGTAGTTGCTTCCCTTCCGGCCTGGCGTTGTCCCATTCTTCTTTTTGTTAGAATGTTTCTAAGTGTCTAACTTCAAGTGGATGAGTGTTCTCATCGTCCTGGCATTGGATTTCTCATTGTTGACAAATGCTTTGGGAGATTGCCCAAGTGTTTGAACCAGTGTCGTTGTCGGCCTGCATCCTTGTGTTGTGGCCGATAAGGGCACCTTCACCTTGGGCTTTTAAACTTAGATTTTTTTCTAAGTACACATGCAAAGGCGTGGGTAGCTAACGGCCTTGAAGTATACAGGTACCCGCTTCGTCTAGAGTTCCTCCATGTGAATACTTAAGAGAATTTTCTAAGTATGAATGTAAGGGATTTACTTCTTTGCGGTACCGCTGCCGGCTAAGGAATGGCCCTACCTTCATCGGCCAAGGTCTGGCTTGTGGCCGATGAGGGTGCCGGATAGGGAATGGCTTTTCCAAGGAGATGGCTCTACCTTCGTCGGCTAACCATGGTTCCTTGTTGAGGAACCCTCTTTTTTCCTCAGAATTTTCTCTAAGTGTTTGGTAAACACTTGAACCAATTCCCAAAGAACTTTCGCTTGACCAACAGCCTTGGTTCCAGTGCCTGTATCGGCTATCCGGGGTGCTGTGGCAAGTAAGGATTGTTTCCTGATTGCTTGATTCTTCCGCGGGTGTGTTAAGTGCCCGCTTCGTCCTGGTCATCCTCAGGATTGTGATTCTTTGTTTCATACCAAGCGTTGGTGCTTCAAAGGACTGTGGCCGATGAAGGTCACCTCTCGCGTGTCACCCAACCGATGCGGTTAGGGTTTCATAGGCGTGTGTTTCGGCCTTGATTATTCCCTTGTAGTGCGTGGACGTGTCGTCCATGTTACTTGTCAGTGGTACTACACTTGTGTTCAACTGATATGTACTTGGCCTAGTTGGGCCTGAGTTGTGGGGATTTTCTTTTTTCATTGCTCGAGGCCGGCTAGTGTGTGCGGCCGTCGGCTTCCCTCGTTTTCCCTTATATTATTATTATTATTTTCGTTTCGGGGAGTATCCTTCTTTCAGGCTTCGGCCGAAGGGTGTGCTCGTCCTCCGGCCGGTTCGGACTTCGTTTATAACGTCCGTGATCTCAGGGCGGGTCCCGTCGCCTATTTATGACGCGGGCTAGACTTTTGGTCGGTTTCCAACGGCTGTCGTTGCCCATCCCTGAGTTTTGGGATTTTGTCACCTTGGCCATGATTTCAGGCCTGTCGTCCTGCGATCTGGCGCGTGGACGACGCGGTGAGCTTCCCGTTTCAAGACGTGGGCCGTTTGCGGGCCCCTCGTCCTGGGGACATCGTCGGCCATACCTGAGCGTTTCACTTCTAGGCTTACGGGGCTAGGACGATGTGCTCTCTCAGCTAGGCCTGAGCCCTTCGCTGATACAAAATACAATGGATTGCCTGAGCTTGTCGCTCGTAGGCTGCAAATGCAAGGGGCCACGTCGGCCATACCTGAGCCTTTCGCTCTAAGGTGGCCGACGGGGGCACCTGCTAATGTTTTACTTTAAATTCCAGAGAAAAAATCAGGAACATGATTTTATTCATAAGTGGCTCGAGGCCGAGGGTGGCGTTCAATTAGTAACCCGTTAAGGGGTGAGGGCTTCGCCGTCTACACCTCCTTCGGATTACTGATAAAACTTCACCAGATGGTGTACATTCCACGTTCGTGGTACATGGGACCCATTCGGGCGTTTAAGCTTGTAGGTGCCGGGTTTGACCACGGCACTGACGATGTAGGGCCCTTCGTACTTCAATGCTAGCTTGCCACCCTCTGTCGGCTGGTTTGCTTCCCTTCGGCGGAGGACGTAGTCCCCCACCTGAAATTCCCGGGAACGTACCTTGGCGTCATAGTATGATTTTACTTGACGCCGGTAGTTCTCTGCTCGGACGTAAGCTTGCTCACGCCTCTCATCGACCAGGTGCAGGTCAATCTTCATGCTTTCCTCATTGGCGTCAGGTTCGTATTGTTCCACCCGTCGGCTGGGGATGGCAACTTCCGTGGGCGCCTTTGCTTCAAAGCCGTAGCACAGGGCGAAAGGCGTTTCACCTGTCGCCCTCCTCGGCGTGGTTCTGTAGCACCACAGGATGTTGGGGAGCTCGTCGACCCAACTACCTCCTGCGGTCTGGAGTTTCTTCTTCAGCCCCTCCATGATTGTTCTGTTGGCGTTCTCGACCTGCCCGTTGCCCTGAGGATAAACAACGGAGGAGAAACGATGCTTCACCCCAAACTCTCGGAGGAGCTCCTGGAAAGGGGCTGCCTCGAATTGGGTGCCGTTGTCTGATATAATCTCCTGGGGGACGCCGAAGCGTGTAATGATGTTCTTATAAACAAATTTTTGGCATCTGGCCCCCGTGATGCTGGCGAAGGGTTCCGCCTCGACCCACTTGGTGAAGTAGTCGACGGCGACGATGATGTAGCGGTTGTTCCCGGCGGCTCTGGGTAGGGGGTCGACCAGGTCAATCCCCCATCTAGAGAATGGTATTGCGGTGCTGACGGGGGCGTAGTTGACAGCTGGCCGACCAGGGGCCTTCTGGAGTACCTGGCATGCGGTGCACTTCCTGGCCAGGTCAGCGCAGTCGCGTGCCATCGTCGGCCAGAAGAAGCCCTGGACGACGAGACGCCGGGACATGCTGAAAGGGCCCTGGTGTGAGGAGTAGACGCCACAATGAACTTCTTCCATGGCTATGTCGGCCTCATCCTGGTGGAGGCATCGAAGGAGAGTGCCATTGTAGGATCGTTTATAGAGTTTGCCATCTTCGATGGTGTAGCTTGGGGCCCTGAGTTTGGCAAGTTTGGCCCTCTCCTCGTCCGGGGGCAGCTCCCCCGTTGCGATGAAGGTGGCGATGTCGGAGATCCAGTCCTGTGGTCGCTGTTGGATGCACAAGACGGGGCTGGCATGGATGCTGGACATGCTCAACTCCTCGATCTTGGCCAACTGGGAGATGTGCTCCGGGGTGTCCGAGCTGAGTTTGGAGAGGATGTCGGCTTCGGCGTTCTCGGCCCTTGGGATCTGAGTGATCTCGTGTGTTTCAAACGCTTTCAGCAACTCCTCCGCCGCTTGTTTGTACTGCTTCATCCGGCCTTCCTTTGCTTCGTATGATCCCTCACCTGGCCCACTACCAGTTTGGAGTCGCACTTGATTTTGAGGTGCTTGGCCTTGAGGCCGGCGGCGAGTCTGAGGCCGCTTAGGAGGGCCTCATACTCGGCTTCGTTGTTGGATACCCTGAAGTTGAAGCGGATGGCATAGTAAACTCTGAATCCTTCAGGGGATATGAGGACGATGCCGCCGCCGCATGATTTCGCGGCCGACGAGCCGTCAGTGAACAGGGTCCATGTATCGTCCGGCTCCGGCCCAGGGTTGGCGACGGCCGTCTCCCTTGCTGTGCATTCGATGACGAAGTCGGCCAAGGCTTGCCCTTTGATAGATGGCCTTGGCTTGATCTCAATTTGAAATTGGCTGAGGAAAATTGCCCATTTCACCATCCTAGAGGAGCTGGTGGGGCTCCTCATGAGTGCGCCGAGAGGCTGCTGGGTCAGTACATGGACGGCGTGGGCCTGGAAGTAGTGTCCCAGCTTGTTTACCGTATGGACGATGGCCAGCACCGTCTTCTCAATGGGGGAGTACCTGAGCTCGGCCTCCCTGAGTGTCTTGCTGATGTAGAATATGGCCTTTTGCACCCCTTCTTCCACACGGATGAGCACGGAGCTGATGGCCGACGTGCTCACCCCTAAGTACAAGAAGAGGGTTTCGCCGGCTTTGGGCTTGGAGAGCACGGGTGGGGACGACAGGTACCTTTTCAATTCGTCGAATGCTTCCTGGCACTCCGTCGTCCACTTGAAGCTGTTGGCTTTACGCATGATCTGAAAGAAGGGGAGTGCCCTCTCGGCTGACCTGGAGAGGAACCGGTTTAAGGCCGCCAGGCGCCCCGTCAGTCGCTGTACCTCCTTGACGTTGCGGGGCGGCTCCATGTTGATGATAGCCTGCGTCTTCTCCGGGTTTATCTCGATGCCTCTCCGGCTGACCATGTAGCCGAGGAACTTGCCGCCCTGGACGCCGAAGGCGCACTTCTTGGGGTTGAGGCAGAGCCTGAACTCCTTCATTATTTCAAAGATTTCCCGGAGGTCGTCGGCGTGGGAGGTGGCCTGCCTGCTCTTGACGATCATGTCGTCGACGTACGCCTCCATCGTCCGGCCAAGGACCGCTCTGAAGATCTTGGCCACCATCCTAGTGTAGGTGGCGCCGGAGTTTTTGAGTCCGAAGGCCATGACGAGGTAGCAAAAGATTCCCTCTGGGGTCATGAATGCCGTCTTCTCAGCGTCATCTTCATGCATGGAGATTTGGTGGTACCCTCTGAAAGCGTCGAGGAACGACATCAACTCGCACCCCGCCGTCTCGTCCACCAGCTGATCAATGTTGGGGAGAGGGAACGGGTCCATGGGGCATGTCTTGTTCAGGTCAGTGTAATCAACACACATTCTGAACGTCGGCGGTTTCTGGGCGAGGACGACATTGGCCAACCATGTCGGG